GGGGGGGGGGTGGGGTGGCGTACCTTGCGGGCAATGTCCTCGGCTTCGCGAGCGACCACATCTTCCACCACGTGCTGCTTAGATGGCTTGCCGCCCATAGTGGTGTGGTGGTGTGGTGGTGTGGTGGTGTGGTGGTGTGGTGGTGTGGTGTGGGTGGTGTGCGGGTGGAGTATGGGTGGAGTATGGGTGGAGTATGGCGTCGTCACGTGTTGCGGTCGTCATGGTGTGGCTTGTTGTTGATGATGATGGTGATGACCATGATGATGGTAATCATTATGATCTTTATGGCGACGATCATTCATAGGTTGTGGTACATGTAGTGGCTCTGTCGAGTGCGTGGTCTCCTATCACAGTGTCTGGTGCTGCGCTCCCGAGCGCTGGCTAGAGTGTAGCCTGGCTCTCGACGCGGGGTATGGCCAAAGCTGCGACATGCACCGCATACTTGCTCTGCCATCTCCTTCTCCACCTTCTGTCGGTATTTGATCTCTGCTCTGCAGGCTTTCTGACAACTTCTCGCGGCTAGAAGCGTACCTCCACCAGGCGATGATGATGATCATCACCCTACGGCAGTGATGGTGACGACGTCCTTCCAATCCTGTTTGTGGTTGCAAGTAATCGAAAAAATGAACCCAGGAGAACGAATAGCAATGACAAAGGACCAAGTGGAGGGCGAGAGAGAGACAGAGCCACCACTCGACTCCAGCCCGCACCATGTCGTCGCAGCCTTCGGTACGCAGCCACAGCACCCGCCCTCCCCACACATACGCACACACACAAGCACTACAAGCACTACACGCTACTCCCTCCCAACCTCCCCCCCTCCTCCCCCCCCTTTTACCCCATTCCCCCCCCTCCCCTCCTTCCCCCCCCCCTCGCCCCGTCCCCCTCCCCCTCCACCTGGCAATGGAAAGAAAGCCCCTCAGCGTTCCTTCCACCCCTTCCCCACCCTCCACAGGTCATTCGTGTCCCGCCGTTCTCGTACATCCACATTCTGGATAACAATGTCAATGTGACGTCGATTGTGGCAGGGCCGCGGACGTACACTCGCCCGGATCATGTCCGGGTTGTGCTGGGGCCAGAGAAGATGATTACCATTCCGCCTCGGCACTACTGTGTGGTGGGTAACCCGGTGGTTCGCGATGACGGGGGCAACCCGGTGGTGGACGAATACGGGCAGTACAAGCTGCGGTTTGGCGACGAGGAGGTCCGCGAGGCGCAGGACCGTTTCCCGCTGTACCCGGGCGAGTCGCTGGTGACAGGCGTGACGCAGATGCCGGTGATCGAGACGAACACGGCGATGCTGCTGCGGGCCAAGCGCGATTTTAAGCAGACGCTTGCCGACGGCGCGACTGTCGACCGCATTGCCGGTGAGGAGTGGCTTGTTCGTGGGCCGACCGTGTTCAAGCCGATGGTGGAGGCCGAGTATGTGCGGACGGTGGAGGCGACGGTGGTGCGGCCGAACCAGGCGCTGCGTCTGCGTGCACGGCGCGACTGCATCGACGCCAATGGGGTGCAGCGGCGGACGGGCGAGGAGTGGCAGCTGCGGTCCGAGGGCGCATACCTGCCGTCCGTTCACGAGGTGGTTGTCGACGTTGTCTCGGCGTATGTGCTGACCGAGAAAACGGCGCTGCACCTTCGTGCGACGCGCAACTTTGACGACGCGCTCGGAGTGAGCCGCCGGGCCGGCGAGGAGTGGTTGGTCACGCTCGCCGACGCCGACCAGTACATCCCGGATGTGTACGAGGCTGTGGTGGGCCAGATCGAGATCACGACGCTGACGAACCGGCAGTACTGCGTGGTGGTGGACCCTGTCGACGCGAAGACCGGTCGGCAGCGGTTCGGGCACCGCGAGGTGCGGATCGGCGAGCGGTCGTTCTTCCTCAACCCAGGCGAGCGACTCGAGTCGGGCATCGAGGACGTGTACGTGCTCGGCGAGGACGAGGCGCTGGTGATCCGCGCCAACCAGGCGTTTGACGACGTGGTGGCGAGCCGCGGCGCCGACGGGGCGGTGACCGAGACAACGGTGGCGCGGACGCCCGGCGACCTGTGGATGATCATGGGCCCGCGCGAGTACTTTCCGCGGGTCGAGGTCTCTGTTGTTGACGTCCGGCGGGCGATTCCGCTCGACGACAACGAGGGCATCTACGTCCGCAACATCACGTCTGGCGAGGTGACGGTTGTCTCGGGCGAGAGCTACATGATCCGCGAGGACGAGGAGCTGTGGCGCAAGGAGCTGCCGGCCGACGTGGAGGCGCTGCTGGCCAACGCTGCGACGCGCGACCCGCTGGCAGACCGGCACGCCCGCGGCAACGACGACAACACCTCGGCGTCGGGTCGCGACATGACGCGGGCGGTGACGTTCCGGGTCCCGCACAACGCGGCGGTGCAGATCTACGACTACAAGCTCAAGGAGTCGCGGGTGGTGTTTGGCCCGGACCTTGTACTGCTCCGGCCGGACGAGCAGTTTACGCCGATCTGCCTCTCGGGTGACAAGCCGAAGCGGCCGAACGTGATCAAGTCGCTCGCGCTGCTGCTCGGCCCGGACTTTGCAACAGACATCATCACGGTGGAGACGTCGGACCACGCCCGGCTCTCGCTGCAGCTCTCGTACAACTGGCACTTTGACGTCGACCGGTCGTCGCCCGAGTCGGTCCGCAAGCTCTTTTCGATCTCGGACTTTGTGGGCGACATGTGCAAGCGCATCGCGTCTCGGGTCCGTGGCGCTGTGGCGCAGGTTCCGTTTGACGTCTTCCACAAGACCTCGGCGACGCTCATTCCCGCGGCCCTGTTTGGGCAGGACGACGAGGGCAACGTCGGCAGCTACTACAAGTTCCCGGGCAACAACCTGGTCATCACCTCGATTGACATCCAGTCGGTGGAGCCGGTCGACCAGCGGACGCGCGACTCGCTCCAAAAGTCGGTCCAGCTCGCCATCCAGATCACCACCGCCTCGCAGGAGGCGACGGCCAAGCACAACGCCGCCCGCGTCGAGCAGGAGGCCCGCGGCGCGCTCGAGCGCCAGCGCATCCAGGACGAGGTCCGCGCCGAGGAGTCGCGCAAGGAGCTGCTCTCGCTCAAGGCCCTCTCTGCCGCCGTCGCCTCGTCCGGCCAGGCCACCGCAGAGGCCAAGGCCCGCGCTGAGGCCGCCAAGATTGCTGGCGAGTCGTCGCTCGAGGAAGCCAAGCTCAAGGTCAAGGCCCAGGAGATCGAGTCCACCGCCGAGCTTGCCCGCCTCGTCGCCCACCAGAACGCAGAGGTCGACCACATGCGCAAGCTCAACGAGCTCGAGGTCGCCAAGGCCCGTGCAGAGGCCGACATTGAGACCAAGCGCTGGGTCGAGTCGGTCGCCGCCCTCGGCCCCGAGACCATCCGCGACCTTGCTCGCGCCGGCCCCGAGACCCAGGTCGCGCTCCTCAAGTCGCTTGGTATCTCGTCGGTCCTCGTCACCGACGGCAACTCGCCCATCAACCTCTTCAACACCGCCTCGGGTCTCATCGGCTCGGGTGCCGGCGCTGACCAGTAGATGCGTCGATTTGCGATTGAATGCTTCCCCCCACCCTTGTCCGACCATCATTGACTTTACTGTCCCAGCCTACAGCTCCTGCTTGCGCGCCGCCATTGCTGCCTGAGCGGCGGCGAGCGCGGCGGCATACGCGTCGTCGGCGTTGGCGCCGTCGTTGGCGGCAGATCCGGCGCTGTCTGTGGCGTCAAAGTCGTCGAGCTCACCGGCTGCCGCCGCGGCGTCGTCGCCGTCCTCATAGTCAAAGTCATCGAGCGACTCGGCGCCAAGGACGGCCGCGTCGGGAAGCGGCAGTGTTCGCTCGCGGCCGCGGGCAACCCGGTCGACAAACTGGGCAACAGCATCGGGTTTGAGGGCGCCGACGTAGACCGCGTACCGAGCCTTGGCCGGATCGAGAACAACCAGGGCCGGGAAGCCAAACTCCAAGTGCAGCGCTTCGTTGAACGACAGGTGGTGCGACTTGAGCCAGACTGGGCGAACAGAGGTGGCCTTGGCCTTGCCCGCCGCCGCGCGGAGCAGGCCGCGGTACCGCAGGTTGTCCTGTGCAAACTCGGCACCGGGCGCAGCATCAAGGACCATCAGCAGGCACATGCCGGACGACTTGTCAAGGCAGGCCTGGGAGAGCCCGTCCTGATCGGCGGCGTAGGCGAGCGGAAGCGGCTTGGCCTTGGCCTTGGCCTTACTCTTGGTCTTGGTCTTGGCCTTAGCCTTGGTCTGCCCGGGCACCTCGCCGTTCTCGATCATCTCGACCTCGGCCAGGAGCTGGTTCATAAACGCACGCAGGTGCTTGAGCTTGTACGGGCCCTGATAAGGGATGAACCGGATCTGGGCGCGGTCGCCACCAAACGAGCCGGCGACAAGCAGGGCCGGGAATGACTCGATCGAGTCCATGCCGGCGATGAACTGGGTGTTTTCGGCTGGAATCTGGGCAAAAAACAGCTTCCCACGGTAGTCGCGGGCGAGGATCTTGTACATGGTCGAGACGGTCTCGGCCTCGGAGAACAGAATGACCTTGGGCGTCGCCAGGTTATGCTGGAAAAACGCCGAGGTCGCCTCCTGGGTCTTGAGCTGCATCACATAGTTGGGCACGAAGCTCAACGCCCACTCGTAGAGCGGCTTGGCCTCGCGCGGCCCATCGTAGCGCACCGGCTTGCGCTTGGCGTTGAGCGGAAAAGCAACGAGTGCCGACTCGCCGGGCGCAAGGCTGTCCATGCCGTACTTGGCTGCGAGCTTGGGCTCAGCCTCGACATCAACCAGTCCAGTGTGGATCTTGGAGACTAGCTTGCGCGAGACCTTGTCCCACAGCGGCCTGCCAGCAGGCTCGCTGGTGTAGCTCGCGTGGCCCGCGTCGCGGACAAACTCGATGACCCACGCAATGTCCTCCACAAGGACTCGCTCGGTAAAAGCCGGCTTGTCGAGGATCTCGTAGCCAGGGCGGGCGGCCTCAGCCTCGGCCTTGGCGCGCGCGGCTTCGGCCTTGGCCTTGGCAGCCTCGGCCTTGGCGGCCTTGCGCGCCGCGCGCGCCGCGCGCGCCTCTTCCTTGGACAACGGCTTGACGTGTTCAACCTCGAGGCCATGCTCGGCCGCCACGTCGTCGACAAATGGTGGAGGACACCCAGAGTGATTTTGCCGTCGCGGCCGTCGCGGGCGGCGAGGACGGCGCCACTCACCGGGTCGATGGCCAGCAGGCCGACCTTTTCCAGCGGCGCACCGCTTCCGCCGTACCGGTGCCACACCGCGGCCATGGCCTCTGGCTTGGAGATACATGCCACACTCACAGCACCGCGGTGCTTGAATGCCAACATATCGAGAGCAATGAGCGGCTCGTCGCGCAGAAGAAGCACCAGCGGACCGTCAGTCGAATCCTTGGGCAGGGCGTCCTTGGCCACGACGCCGTCGGCCAGGCCACCGGCGAGCAGCGCAGCCGTATCGGCCTCAAACTGCTCGCGAAGGATGCCCGCCAGCCACTTGGCCACCAGCGCCTCGGAGAACTGTTCGGCGGTGTAGCGGACGGGCGACTTGTATGCGGCGCCTGCGGCATACGGATTGACCTTGAGCGCGGTAAAGGCATGCAAGGTCGGCAAAGTGGGAACCTTGTATGCCTTGAGCGTCTTGGCCGATGCCTCTGAATGCCGCACAATGCCGTAGCGGACTCCGATCTTGGCCATTCTTGGCGCAGCGCGGGTGAGCTGGGCCTCCAGCTGCGGACAGACCTTGCACATCTCGGCATCGCCGACATACAGAACCAGCCAGACCTCTGAATGCGGCGCCTTGATGACCATCTCGTCAAAGTTGTCATCATTAAGCTCGACCAGTCCGCCCGCCTTGCCGGCCTTGCCCGCCTTGCCCGCCTTGCCGGCCTTGCCCTCTGCGCACTCGACGGTCAGCACCAGGCCGACCAGGCCGACCATGGCCAGCAGGACCAGTACCCCTGCAGCCGTCCTCCGCATTGTCTGTCGTCGTGCCATGGAGGGGTGGAGTAGAGAGGTGTGTGGGTGGTGGGGGTGAGGGGGTTGGGGGTGGTGGGGGTCTTCGTGAATGTTGGTGCGTTGGTGGTGAGGTCAGCAGGGACGGGGGGGGGAGGGGGAGGGGAGGGGGGGGGGGCATCATATGAGCCCACCCACACATACATACATACATACATACATACATACATACATACATGCGTATGTGTATACTTACGTTTTCACACGCACATGTGTGCGCACCTCTCTGATCACACACCCCTCCCATGTCTTCCTCCTCCCACGCGATCATCATCGCCTCAATCACCATCGCAGGCTGCAGAGGTAGGCCACATGACGATGACGGGCTGGCAGATATACCATCGCACATGACCAGCATCACTGGCCACTTACACCTTCCGGCGGTCGGTCCGGCCGATGCCACGCGGGTGACTTGGTCCCCCCCCAAAGGCTCAGCACTGTGTCGACCGACACGGCTGGTCACGACACGCGACTCGTGGCCACAGTACCGATAGACAAACAGGTGACATGGGTCGGTACTACCGGGTATGGAGCCCAAGCAGTGGGACGTTCCGCAAGGCACTGCTTGTGGCGCTTGTGATGGCTGTCTTCATGGCACCCATTCCCGACTGTGACGAGGTGTTCAACTACTGGGAGCCGCTCCACTACCTCATCCATGGCACCGGTCTGCAGACATGGGAGTACGCCTCGCAGTATGCCCTCCGCTCGTATGCTTATCTCCTGGCTCATGCGCCACCTCTGGCTCTTCCTCTGGTGCTTAATGCTACTATTGGCTTGGGATCGCTCGCTGATGGCCGTCACTACCCTTCGGCTCCTGTGGCTGACTCGGCATGGGCTCCCGTCTGGACACGCTCGCTCCCGGGTGATGCCAACGTCAAGCTCCTGCAGTTCTTTGCCCTCCGCCTGGTTCTTGTCATTCTTGCCATATACGTTTTCTCGGCATTGTACTATGTCCTCGCGCAGCGGCTGCGTTTCTCCCACATTCCGATCTTTGTCCTCGTCTTTATGGCCCTCGCCCCGGGCCTCTTCCTCGCTGTCCCGGCCTTTGTTCCCTCATCAACTGCCATGGTCGCGCTCACTGCCGCATACGCCGCGTTTCTGGATCGCCGCGAGGCGCTAGCGGTGGCGCTTGTCGGTGTCGCCGGCCTTGTTGCCTGGCCCTTTGCCGCTTGGGCCGGCGTTCCCATCGCGCTGCACATGATGTTCCTCGGCCCGTCGCCGCTACCGATTGTCCGCCGCGTCGTCAAGTTTGTCGGCTTTGCTCTCCTCGCCGGCACCGTGCTCATCGGCCTCCTTCTTGCCATTGACTCGTCGTTCTACGGGTCTCCGGTCCTCGCCCCGCTCAACATTGTGATGTACAACGTGCTCGCCACCGCTGCCTCTGGCGGCGGCTCGGAGCTCTACGGTACCGAGCCGTGGCACTACTATATCCGCAACGGCATCGTCAACTTTAACCTTGCATTTGTCCTCGGCCTGCTTGGTCCGTTCCTCACTGTCCTCCCCGGCTGGCTCAGCCACTACAACCTTGTCTGCGGCCCGTCCCCGGCGTTCCGCTCTCGGCTCGCGGCGTACTTGTGGTCGATCTGGGCCTGGCTCGGCCTCATGCTCGCCCAGCCGCACAAGGAGGAGCGGTTCCTCTACCCGATCTATCCCGCGCTCTGTGTGTCGGCAGCTGTGACGCTTGCCTGCGGCGCATCGCTCCTCGACAGTGTGCTGGCCAAGTGCAGCGGCGACGGTGACGCCGGCAGCAGCGCCGATGACGACGACGGCAAGGCTGCGTTTGTCACCCGCGCCTCGCTCACTTCGACGCTGGTGTGGATGATCTTGGCGCTCTTTGCCCTGCTCGCTGTCTCGCGGTCGGTGGTGATGGTGGTGGGCTACGGTGCGCCGCTCGAGGTCTACACCCATCTTGCCAACACCGAGTTTGATCCGGCGTTCCGCGCCGCGCTTCCGGTCAACGCCTCGGTCGCCGTCTGCGTCGGCAAAGAGTGGTACCGCTTCCCGTCCCACTTTTTCTTCCCGGACGCCCGTTTCGCGCTCCATTTTATCGACGGTGGCTTTGGCGGCCTTCTCCCGCAGGCGTACGCGCCGTATCCGGACGGGCTCAGCCGGCACGTGCCAGCCATGAACGATCGCAACGCCGCCGAGCCTTCTCGGTACGTTGCCGTCGACAACTGTGCCTACGTGGTCGATCTAGTCCTCTCGCCCGCCGACGACCTCGCTGCCCGCCAGCCAGAGACCTGGACCACTATTCTCGAGGTTCCGTTCCTCGACGCCGACGCCACGCCGGCATGGGCGCGCGCGTTCTATATCCCGTTCGTCGGGCCCCGCGCTATGGCATGGAAGCCGTACACCGTCTTCCGTCACAAGTGAACGCGCGGTGCTTACCGTCAGACCCAGACATGCAGGCCGGCCGACGACGCCGTGGCCAGCGCCACGTTGCGGGCGGTGAGCGCGAGCACGTCTTCGCCGCGGGCCACCCTGCCCTTGGCCGTCTTGGGAATGCCGTACGTCGCAGTCGGCGTGGTCACCTCGCCCGCCAGCCAGCTCGCCATCGGCACAGCCGCCACCGTTCCGTCGTACGAGACGCTTGCAAGGCTGAACGCGTTGCCCGCCAGCGATGAGACCGCCGAGCTGTGGTACCGCGCGTTGACCGTCGGCCCGGCGTGCGGCGCCCGCGTGTCGATGGCGTACACGGCATTGTGCGGACGGCCGACCGAAACAACCAGCGTTTGACCATCGCCGCTCGACGAGAGAATCGGCAGCTCGAGTGCGTGGACGCCTGCGGCGAGGGCCAGCTCGAGCGCAGGCTCGCGCGCTGGTGCGCGCAGGTCCCAGCACCGCACGTACTTGTCGAGCGAGCCCGAGTAGAGGACCGATGGTGCCGCCGGATCAAAGGCCAGTGCGCGGACCGAGCCGCGATGCGGAAGCGTCCGCAGAGCGGCGTCGGGCGAGTTGACGTCAAACACCAGCGCCGAGTTGTCGTCCTGCCCACCGCCCGACACGACCCATGGCCGCTGCGCACACGCCGCGAGCGCAAAGACCGAGTCGGCATGGCCGGTCAGAGTCGCCACCGGCGACGCAGTCTCCAGATCAAACACTAGTGAGCCGCCCAGCTGGCGACCGAGGCCGAGCGCCACCAGACTCGGCGCGCCCGGCAGGAGACACATCGAGTTGACGGCGTCGCGGTCGGCAACCTGGACTGCGGTCGGGACGAGCTCGACTGGCGAGCGCCGCCCACGGTCGCCACGGGTACTGCTCCGATTACTTAGCGGTGTGGTGAGGAGCACGCCGCGCTTGCATCCGGCGAGCAGTACGTCCATTGCCGCGTGATGGGCCAGGCAGCGGGCGTGGACATCGTCAGCCAGCGCCACTCGCTCCATGGATGCGGCGGCGTCCGGACGCGCCAGCCGGCTCAGCACCCGCATGGTAAGCCCGTACCGAACAAACCACTCGCTCTCGCGAGAGTCGCTGTCCTCGTCACGCCCATCAGAGCCGCCACTCGTCACGCATCCGTCGCCCATCAGCGGCGCAAGCTCGCAGGCGTACCGTCGTCGCCACAGTAGCGAGTCGGTAGCGAGCCGGCGCCAGTCGCGCGAGGCGCAGGAGAGGGCAAGGAGGTCACGAGTCGGCAGAAACTCGCAGATGTACAGCCTTAGCTCGTCAGGAAACCGGTCTATCATTGTGGTGGTTGGAAACGACGTCCAGCCGCTCTTGGGGCTCTCGGTGTGGCGACGAGTGGCTCTGTCCGTGGATGGGATCGGCCGGCGGAGGCGGGCGACAGGGATCCGAGCCGATGCAGCTATCGCCATAGTCATGATTAGTCGTTGCCCATGGTTAGTCGTTGCCCATGGTTAGTCGTTGCCCATGGTTAGTCGTTGCCCATCATCAGTCATTGCCCATCATCAGTCGTTGCCCATCATCAGTCGTTGCCCATCATCAGTCCTTGCCCATCATCAGTCCTTGCCCACCATCAGTCATTGCCCATCATCAGTCGTTGCCCATCATCAGTCGTTGCCCATCATCACTCGTTGCCCATCATCACTCGTTGCCCATCATCACTCGTTGCCCATCATCAGTCGTTGCCCATCATCAGTCATTGCCGCCATTCCAACGGCCCAACACCACGTCACTGCCACCACCACACACTCACACACACACACATCCACAAACACACACACACACACATCCATACACATACCATGTCGACCCTCCAGATAGGTGACATGTGCTGGGTGGAGAACCTGGCAGCAGGTACTAGCGGAGGAGAGCAGGCCTCCCATGGCCACCACCCGTCGCGAGTGGCAGGCAAGGTCCTCGCCGTCTCGGACTCGATGGTGACGGTGGCCCCAGAATGGGGCGAGCTCTGTCCGACCTGTGCCCTCAAGCCGGAGCATACGCCTGCTCATCGTCCGGCAAAGGTCAACGTTCCGCTGGGAAACTCGGCAGACGCGGGCCAGCTCGCCGTGAGTGTCATGGACACGTCCAACGCCGAGGGGAGGGCAGACATGATGGAGCTGGCTGATCTGGCGGTGGGCGAGCTGATGTACAACCTGAGGTTGAGGTACAAGGCCCAGCCCATGCAGTTCTACACATATGTCGGGGACATCCTGGTTGTCGTCAATCCCATGGCGGACATGGGCGTCTCTGGCGAGGAGACAAAGGCTACGTACGCCGGCCTGCCGTTCCGCGATGCGAGCGCCCCGCCGCACATCTACGCCGTCGCCGAGGCTGCCCACAAGGCGCTCGCCGAGACGGCCGCTCCGCAGGTCATCGTCATCTCGGGCGAGTCTGGCGCTGGCAAGACATACGCCACCAACGACGTGCTCGACTTTCTGGCCTACCGCGGCAGCGGGTGCGACCCAGCTCCTGCTCCCGGTCCTAACGCTGGCGCTGCTCCTTCTCCGCCCGGGGCGGAGATTGTGGCCAAGATCCGGGCTATCTCGGGCGTCATTGAAGCGCTGGGCAATGCCAAGACGTCGCGGAACCACAACTCGTCGCGGTTTGGCAAGCTCGTCAAGGTCCAGTTCGACGAGGCCGGGGCCATCGAGGGCGCCGCGCTGCAGACGTACCTACTGGAAAAGTCGCGGATTGTCGACCAACAGCCCGGTGAGCGCAACTACCACATCTTCTACCTCATGTTCCAGTTCCTCGACCGCGGTGAGCGGTCGGCGCGCGGTCTCTCGGACTCGGTCGCGGACTACCCGTACCTCGTCGGCTCGCACGGCAAGAACGCCAAGTCATGGCAGTACATGCCTAGCGATCCGTCGGCGCCGCAAGCCGGGCTCGAGCCCATGGCCGACGCCAAGCGGTGGGAGGCGTTCATCGACGCTGTTGTCACGCTTAACCTCGAGGACGATCTCTCGTGCGTGTGGGACACGCTCGCCGCCATCCTGCACCTCGGCACGCTGACTTTTGAGGAGCACGCTGGCTCTTCGACCGGCTTTTGCACCGTCTCGCCGCCTGGAGTTGTCTCGCGCATTGCAGGCCTCCTCGCTGTCGACGCCGACGCTCTGGCCACCAATCTGCTCTCGTGCGAGGTCGTCAACATGCGCCGTGCGTACCGACCCGACAAGGCCAAGCAGACCGCCGACGCGCTGGCCAAACTCCTTTACGCCTCGCTCTTTGACGTCATCATCGAGCACATCAACGCGTCGATCAAAACCGGCTTCACCCGCCGGTGGATCGGCGTCCTCGACATCTTTGGCTTTGAGTCGTTCCAGTCGCTGCCGGACAAGCACGGCGTGCCCGACACCGCCAACCGGTTTGAGCAGCTCTGCATCAACCTCACCAACGAGCGCCTGCAGCGGTTCTTCTACGACCAGCTCATTCCCAAGCAGCTCGCCCACTACGCCGACCACGGGCTCGACGTCGACGCCATCGAGTACGACGACAACACCCTCTGTGTCAACCTCATCATGGAGGGCCGCAAGTCGCTCTTTGGCGCCCTCAACAACGCCACCAAGGAGGCTGCCACCCTTCCGGCCTTCCGCAACAACCCGGAGCTTGCCGAGCGGCGCTGGGTCGAGACCATCAAGTCGACGTACAAAGGCGGCAAAGGCCGTCTCGCGCCCTCGACCGTAGTCCGCAAGTCCTCGCCCGACGAATTTGTCGGCTGGTTTGATGACAAGCTTGACTCGCGGGCCCACACCCAGTTTGCCGTCCACCACTACGCTGAAACCGTGTGGTACACCGTCGACGGGTGCGTCGAGAAAAACGCCGACAAGATTGCCCCCGAGCTTGTCACGCTTGTCTCGTCCTCATCGGCCGCCTTTGTCGCCGGCCTTTTTGATCCGGACCGCCTCGAGCTCAACACCTCGGTTGCCGACAAGTTTGCCGAGCAGCTGCGGGCACTCGTCTCGCCGGCGTCGTGGAACGTGCCTGGCCACCCGTCGGGCATGCTTGACCTTGCAGCGGAGCCTTTTTTCGTTCGCTGCGTCAAGCCAATCTGCTCGCGGGTGCCCGGCATGCCGCGTGCGCCGCTCTCCAACCACAAGGTGCTCGACCAGCTGCGGTCCGCCGGTATGTACGCGGTCATCCAGATGCGGCTTGCCGGCTATGCGTCTGAAGTGGACAAGGCCCAGTTTGTCGAGACCTACACCGAGCTTGTTGACGACATGGCAGCGTTCAACTCACTCTCGCTTGACAACCAAGTCCGCTCCATTTGTGCATCCGTCGTCGCCTCTACTCAGCACGACTTGACAAGCGAATCCGGCATGGCGCCGTACCAGATCGGCAACTCAAACCTGGTCTTCCTCAAGGACGCCATGAACTACGCCCTGCGCGACGCGCTCGCTGCGGCTCGCGCGGCGCGTGCGGCCAAGCAAGCGCTGGCGCTCTCGCATTTTGCGGCGCTTTTCTCGATGTGGAGCGTCCGCCAGTCGATGCCGCGGCTGGTGCAGGTCTACGAACAGAACCAGGAACGCCTCGAGTTTATCCGGACCCGCATCGAGGGTGGTGCAAGCGAAGCAGAGGCCAAGGCCGCATGGGACGCCGAGCTCGCCACCCGCGCCGCGGCCATGGAGGCCGAATACAAGCTCGAGCATTTTATCCCGCTGCAAAAGGCCGCCGCCGCCGAGCCAGTCGACAAGCTCGACGCCGCCATTGCCAACATGCTCAAGGACGAGCCAGCCGGTGAGGCGCGCGCGGCTCTCGAGGCTAGGCGCAAAGCGCTGAAGGCATCGGCCAAGGCGGTTAACGCCGCGCTTGCTGCGCTCGAGGCCGACGTGTACAACGCCGAGGCCGAGACCGCTGCCGCAGACGCCATTGCTGACCTGGACGCAGTTGTTCTCGCCGAGGAGGCCGCGTATGCAGAGGACGTCAAGCGGCGCGAGGCGGCCGCCGCTGCTGCTGCTGAAGCCGCGTACATTGCCACGCATGTGACGTCGGTGGAGACTGCGGCGAACGCGGTGCCGTTCGCCAAGGTCAAGGCCGCACTCACGGCGTTTGGCAAGCGGCATGCCAACATCCTCGGCAAACGCGAGAACCTTGAGAGCGCACTCCATGCTCATGGGGCCTCGCTCGACGACGCTCGCGCAGCGCTTGAGGCGCGGCTGGACGAGTTGCGGGCAAGCCCGCATTCAGACGAAGTGCAAGCCGGGGTGGCGACGGCGCTATCGGCGCTCGAGGTGCTCGTTGGCGGCGTCCACGAGTTCCTGCGGCTGATGGAGGAGCGCGTGGCGATGGCAGCGGCGGCGGAGGAAGCCAAGGAGCGCAAGCGCGAGGCGCGGCGCAGAAAGCGTGAGGCGCGCGAGGCACGGAAGCGCAAGCTGCTGGAGGCGCGGCAGGCCATGCTCTCGGCGCAGGAGCGAGTGGCCGCGGAGCGGGCGGCGGAGCGCAAGCGGCAGGAGGAGGCCAAAAAGCGGGCGGTGAAGCTGCTCAAGAAGAAGCAGAAGCGGCGGCTGCGGTGGTTCGAGACAGCAAGCGTGGCCATGGACGGCCTGCGTGTCTTGTTCCACCATGCCGAGGCCACGGTGCGGTACCTTGGCCCGCTGCCGTCGGCATCGGTCAACCTCCTCACGGCGCCCTACTACATCGGGCTGGAGATGCCGTATCCGTCGGATTTGTTCAACTCGGGTGACTACGAGGGTACGCAGCTGTTCGAGTGCTCGCCGGAGCATGGCATGTTTGTGGCGCAGGACTTGGTCTCGGTCCTGGTCGCCAGCGACGAGCTTCGCGCCGGCGAGCGGCATCTGCAGGTCGGCGACCGGGTGTGGCGGCGGAACCATGTTCCGCTGCAGACCGGCGTCATCATGTACTACGGTGAGACTCACTTTGACGAGGGCCCGTTTGTGGGCATCGCCCTCGACCAGGCCGGCTCTGGCACCAACTCGGGCCGGGTCCACGGCTTCAAGTACTTTAAGTGCGCCAAGGACTCGGGCCTGTTTCTGCGGCCAGAAGAGCTCGAGCGGATAGAGCCGTGGTCGCACTCTGTCGTCAAGGAGCGAACCAACGAGTACATGATTCTTAACGACATTTATCTCGACGACGACGAGTACTCGGAGTACGATGGTGACGAGGAGGATGGGACCAGCTCGCGGGCCAGCTCACGGCCGGCGTCGGGTGACGACTCGTCGTCGGGCGCGGTCTCCGAGACCGTTCTAGACGCCATGGATCCCGACGAGCTCTACGCGCTTGCCGGTGGCGATGCCATGCTGACCGACGGCGCGTCTGAGCCGCTCTCGTCGGGAGTGCGGCTCAAAAAGTCACGGCTCTCGCGGCGCGGATCGGGCGCCGGTCGGTCGATGTCGATGCGCAATGTCGAGACAGCGCGGAGTGGACATCTAGTGCCGCCGATGCAGCGGGCGGCGTCGTCGCGAAACCGGATGCGCCGACGGTAGCAGTTAGGGCGTAAAACAGGTCTCCAGATGAAAGTGGTAGTCGACGAGCGACGTGGCCGAGACGGCAGTGGTGGCGGCGTAGACGGCCGAGGCGAGCGAGGAGTTACCAGAGAAGAAAACGCCGACAGCGGCGTTGGGCCGGGCGAGAAGGCCCGAGTCGGAGACCACATCCTCGGCGTCGAGGTAGGAAAAAGCCGGGCCATGTCGGGCCGACCGCGGATGACGGTAAAAGGGAGCGCAAGAAAGACGTCGCGGGTGACAAAGAGGCGAACGTCGAGGGTGAGATCAGGCTCGTGGATAGAGGTGTAGAACTGGGACTCGAGCACCTCGAGCACGTCCTGGAACCAACGGAACGAGTCGAGGTCGCGGCAGACCCACCAAAAGTGGAGATGCTTGAGTGGGAGAGCGAGACCGTGCTGGAGCCGGAAAATGATGTCGGAGAGGACGGCGGCGTAGGGAGTGACCCCGATGCCGGACGCGATGAGGACGGCGCGGTGGTAGGAGAGATACGGGTGCGGGTCCGAGCCAAACGGGCCCGCGACGTAGAGCCGGAGCGATGACGCCGGTGACGTCGGGTCCTCGATGCCGGACGCGGAGGACTCGGCGAGCGCGTAGACCTGACGGGTCCAAGAGTCGCGGGCGCCGACAGCCTTAAAATACACGTGCACGTGCTCCATAAGCGGCGAGGAGGCGACCGAGAACGGATGCCACTGCAGCTTGGAAATGCTTGGTAGGTGGAGGTGGACGTAGTCGCCGAGGGCGAGGGCGCGCGTCATGCGCGCCGACTTGACAAAGGCAACATGGACGACCGATCCCGGGAGCGCGTCGAGCGCGACAATGCGGGCGTCGGCGAGCGCGTGTGGCGCCGAGATGCCGCGCGCAATGAGGTAGAGAAGATAGCCCGGTGCGATGTAGTAGAGGGTACGGAGGGTGGTGGGATGCGCGACGAGGAGGAGCGGGAGGACGAGCGCGAGCTGATGTGGGTAGTAAAAGACCTCAAAGGCGATGCGGCGGATCTTCGGGTGTGCAAGCGGGACAATGGCGAGCATCAGAAGGAGGAGAAGGATGCCGGAGAGGCCGAGCCAGGTCGAGAAGACAATGGTGAGCGGCGAGTTGTGGGTGCGAAAGGCGGCGAGCGGGGTGCCCGGCGCAAAGGCCAGGTCGCGATCAGCCTGCGATGCAGCGGCAGTGCGAAAGGCGTTGACAACGTGAGCAGCGGTGTGGCCGAGAGCGCAGGCAAAGGTGGCCACTCCGCCGAGCCGATGGAAGAGCATCATGTGCTCCTGTGAGGGCCGGAGCCAGAGCGTGGCGGAGCGAGGCATGCGCGGCAGAAAGACTCGAACGACGGTGGTGTAGGTGGCGAGGCAGACCGGGAGAAAGAGAAACGCGACGCCGACGCGGATACCCGCGGCAAAGACCTTGGCGGCAACGAGCGAGGCACCAAGAATGCGGTGTGCTGCGTAGGAGCGGGCGATACGCGCGATGTAGACTGACTCGAGGGTGACAGCAAGGCAGATGAGGGCAAGCCAGAGGCAAAACGCTGGGTCGAGCTTGGCATGCATGCGGGCGGTGGAAGCGGCGGCGGCGACCGAGGCCCGGAGCGATGCGAGGTGCGAGGTCGCCGGCGCCGCGCTGGATGCCGAGCCGGAGATGCCGTAAGAGGCGAGTCGGGCGAGAACGCCTGCGGGCAGGTCTGTGGCAGTGGCGAGTGAGCTCCACTGAGCCGGCTCGAGGGCGAGAACGTCGCCGACGGTGGCGAGCTCCTGGAGCGCAAACTGTGCCATCCAGAGTTTCGCGCGCTCACGGCCGACGTTGGGTGAGAGCTTGAGATCCTCGGCGACAGCGAGGAGGGCGGCCAGAAGCGGTGCGTCTGGTGAGAAGGCGACTGTCGAGTATGTGCGGTGGGTTGTGAGCCAGGATCGCCACTGGCGAGTGGTGGGTGTAGCGTGGATGTGGAGGGTGAGCTCGGTGGCATGCTCGAGCTCGCCCCAGGTAAAGGCGGAGATGAAGCGCGGCCAGTCAAGGACGATGCTGCCGACCGGACGGGTCGGCGAGGCCGGCGACGAAAACGAGATGGCGCGCGAGCGCGAGAGGCTCGGGGAGAAGGCCTCGTTGTCGGCGGCGACCGAGGAGGCGAGCCACGAGCTGTGGATCTCGGCGACGAGATCGTCGCCAGCGAGGGCAGCGCCGCCGGGAGCGGCAAGAATGAGATGCGGGATGTTGCAGAGGGTGGCGAGGGAGAGCTCAGCGCCGGCTGTGGTGGAGCCGGCTGCCATGAGGAAGACAAACATGAGGCGGAGCTTCTGTGGCGCCTCGCCAGCAAAGGCCGAGGCAAAAGCGAGAAACTCAAGGAGTGGGACGGAGGGAGCGCGGGACGAGAGGCGCTTCTTCTTGGAGGGCGGTGGCGGGCGAGCGAGAATGGCGAAGAGGAGATCGACGGTGGAGGAGGCCGCATCCCAGCCCGTCAGTCGGGCAAAGGCACGGCGGGAGAGGCGGTAGGTGAGGTTCGATGCGATGGCAAAGACGTGGGCCCAGCGCTTGATGAGCGAGTCGGGGCGGAAGACCCAGGCAGTGGCGACGCGAGTCATACCGCGGCCAAAGCGGAGGATGCGGCGACGCATGCCGGTGATAGGACAGACGCCCGTGGAGACGCCGAGCATGGCCTTTGCCGACTCGAGGGCGATGGATGCGTTCTGGAGGCTCCGCCAGTAGCTCGCAGCCGAGGCATCAAGTAGAGGCCTCTGCGCCGTGAGCATCAGCCATAGAGGAGGCCCAGACGGAACCCAGCGTCTCTCGTATACCCTCTAGCGACTCGGTCCGTCTTGTCCGTCCTCTTCGCTCTGAAAGCTGCCCTCCTCTCGGCAGTCGGCTGCGCCGACCTGCTGATGACGACGATGACGACCGCGCCCAAATCGAGCCGTGGTCGTTGCTTTTGTCGTTGTAGCCATCGTTGTTGCAGTCATCGCCGTTGCCTGCTGGCTGGGCCATCTGCTGCCGATTCGATACCGTCTCGCGGTGCCTCAGTCTGCGATCTGTCGATGGCTTCATCTGCTTGCTCTTGGACCGAGTCTGGTCGCTGGCATGCGCACTCGTCACCTGTGACCTCCCTCCGTTTGCTGCCGGTTGTGTATGCAGAGATTCAGTGCTCCAGCTCGAGGTCGACGAAGCCATCACGGCTCGAGTAGAGGGGTGTCCGAGTTGGGTGCGACGGGCTACACCTGTCGAGTCGCCAGGACTGGCGGCGTGCGGATGGCGCCTTGGCAGCTCCGACTGTGTCGACACAGTTGGCTCGTGAGGAGCAGGAGCTCATCCATCCCGCCCGTTGATGACGATCCATGATGACGATCATGATGGGTGTCTTCTTGGCGGCCAATTCCTACCTTGATCGCATGCGTACGCAAGCATGTGGGTCATCCGTGCCAAGCGGCAGCTGCACGGATGTGCTGGCATAGAGGCTGATGAGACCGTCGAGCCAGCGGATCGACCACTTGGCCGGCAACCAATGGTGTGGCCAGATCAGCTGGTAAACATCGCTGCTCACTCGGGTGCTCATGTGTCAGCACAGAGTCACCTCATCGCTTGCGAGAGGTCATGCCCGACTGCCGAGTGCCGAGTGCGCGGGCAGAGTTTGGTCAGCAGCCGGCCGCTTCCCGAGCCGGAGCCACATACACGCACACCCTTGACACTTGACGCAGGCGGGTACACACTTGACGAGATATGTCTGCAAGAGGTAGTGGAAGCTCTGCATCGGCGTCTGGGTGGTGCCTGCCGACGGCGGCAGGCTCTGGTTGGGCCTTCTGGAAGGAGGTCAAGGCCGACAAGCACAGGCTGTTCACCATGCAGAAGCACAAGAGCCATGGCAAGTCGAGGTTCTCGGCTTTGGCGTCATCGGTTACCGTATGTGAGTGTGTGTATGGGGGAGGAGTGGGAGGAGTGGGAGGGGGGGGGAGGGGGGGGGGGGGGGGGGGGTGGACTCATGAGTGGTGATGGTGATGTCGATGGTGATCGGGGTGGTGATGATGATGCTGGTCGGGGTGGTGATGGTGATGATGGTTGTGCGGGCTATGGCCATGGTGGTTATGCGGGTTGTGTGGGTCGTGGTCATCTGGGTCAAACAGAAAACGGTGCGCGGCATGGTGAACAAAGAGGATCACAAGCCGTTCCGCATTCTGATGGACGCAGCGGGTCCGGCGCCCAAGGTTGTGGGCACGTTTGAGGACAAAGTCGCTGCAGAGTCGGCGTGGAAGTTCCTGACTGGCGTCATGCTCCCGCTTGTGGATGCCGAGTTTGGCACGGACTTTGACCGCGCCGCCGTTCTTGCCTACCTCGGCATCGAGTTCTCGGACGGGCTCGACGAGGACCAGTACATGGAGCTGGCCCGGGTGCGAAACGGATCGGCCGGTGCTGTCGCCGAGTACGAGGCCCGTCTAGCGGCCGAGCAGGCAGAGGCCCTACGTGCGGCCGAGGCAGACGGCTCCAAGATCATCATGCTCTCGGTGACCGAGGCCACTGCCCAGGGCCAGATTCTTATGCACGGCGGCGCGGTGCTGGACGCTGCGCTGGCCAAGGTTCGTGACGAGGCCGGCCCATCGGCGGAGCCTCAAACACCCTCTGGCGGCGACAACGCGGATGGCGCTGATGCTGTGGATAGCACCGATGCGGCCGGAGCTGAATCGGGCGCGTCGTCGGACGCGTTTGCGGACGACTCGGACTCGGACGGCGATGAAGCGGGGAGCAGCGCGGCACCCGTACAGCCTGTGCCGGAGCAGGAGTCTGTGCCGGACGAGGTCAAAGTCGATGCGCCTACCAACGATGATGAGGGCGAGGCCGTGGAAACGACCACAGCCGCAGAGCCAGTGCCGCTCTCACCCGAGGTATGCCACGCCATTGTAACGCTGGTCATCCTGCACACGCCGCTGGTTGTGATGGACGCCAACGATCTCCAACCGCGGCTGTGCGAGCGGTTCTCGCTCCCGGAAGCCTCACTCGCAGCCATTGTCAAGACCGCCGGCGAGGGCGAGGATTATCGGCAGCCGCAGATCCAGGTGGCGCTGGAGACGCTGCTGCGCGAGAACGTGGACCGGGCTGCGCTCCTCCGCGAGGTCCTTGTCCTCGCTCTGGCTTCGTCCAAGTACGACGCACGGATGCGGCAGTCGCTGCGGCTGATGGCGCGGTCGGCCGGAGTCGACTGGATGGCGTTTGTCAAGGCCGAGGATGAGCTGGCGACGATGCTGCGGACGATGCTGACGGCCGAAGTCGACGAGACGGTCAAGGCCAAGTCGGCGTCGTCGGGTCGGGCATGGAAGATGGGCGGGGCGGCGCTGCTCGGCGGAGCGGCACTGTTTGTGACCGGCGGCCTTGCGGCGCCGCTGGTGGCGACCGCGGTCGGGACCGGGATGGTGCTCGGCGGGGCGGCGGCGACGACAACAACAACGGTCATGGTTGGCGCGTATCTCATCACGCCGACGGTGCTTGGCACGGCCGGCGCCGGGCTGTCCTACTACAAGATGGACAAGCGGACGGCTGGGCTCGACGAGTTTGGCTTTGTCTCGGCCCGTGGCGAGGGGGTGAGCGCCGGCGAGGGCATGCACGTCACGATCTCGGTCTCGGGCTGGCTTGAGGCCGAGGAAGAGGCCGGCAGTGAGTGGTCCAACGTATACACGGCGGCGCCGCACGGCGAGTCGTACGTGCTCCGGTGGGAGTCGGACCATCTGCGGACGCTTGGTGAGGCGTACCGCTCGTTCATTCGCGAGTCGGCCAAGTCAATGGTGGTGGGCGAGATCCTCAAGCGGACCATTCTCGGCGCAGCGTCGTTCCCGCTCCAAGTCCTCGGCTTTGCCAACATCATCGACAACCCGTGGTCGATGGTCATGGATCGGGCGCGCAAGGCCGGCAACCTTCTCGCGCACGTCCTCACCGACGCGCATCACGGGGCGCGGCCGGTGACACTTGTTGGCTACTCGGCCGGCGCACTTGTCATCTTCCACGCGCTGCGGGCGCTCGCGGATGCCGGCGTCGTCGACGTCGTCGACAACGTCGTTCTCGTCGGCGCGCCCATCCACGAGTCGTCAAGCGAGTGGGCGCGGGTCCGCGCGGTGGTCGGCGGCAACTTTGTCAACGCGTACCAGACCAGCGACTGGATCCTCGGCATCCTCTCGCGGGTCTCCCATTCGACCAAGCCCGCTGCCGGGCTCTCGCCCATCTACGTTCCTGGCATCATCAACGTCAACCTCGATGGGCTTGTCCAGGGCCACATGGACTACAAGACCGCGTTGCAGGACATCATGCTCATTCTGTTCCCGTGGCTTGTGTAAACCTTGTTCCTGCGGGCCGAGCCCGATCACCGACCCAGCTGGCGGTCAACACAATCCCTAGCCACTTGACAGAGTGAGTACACACATTGATTGTATCATCATACTTTTATCTCCATCATCCCGATGGCAGCTGGTAGCTGGCAGCTGGTAGCTGGCAGCAAGTAGTTGGTAGCTGGCAGCTGGTAGCCCGCAGCAGCCCCAGCAGCGGCAGCCGGCGGCCGGCAGAGCCAACCGGCAGCCGTTCCCCAACGACCTCACCGCCCGACCCCACCACTCTCACAGCCCAGGGACCCACCCCGCCACACCCACGCACACCCACACACATACACACACACACACACACACACACAGGGAGTGAGCATATCCCCCTGTGTGGAGGAAGCAGTTGTAGTTGCAGACTCTGTGGCCACGGGGGCCGCATTCGTAGCACCACCACCACAGGGCAGAGGGGGGAGCAAGTCATGGACAGGAGCCGAGACAGGGAGGGGGGGAGCAAAGGGGAGGGGGGTACCATGTCCATGAACAAAGACGGGATGGGCATGGGCATGGGCGTGGAGGCGGACATGGACATGGCCACGGAGGCGGGCGTGGACGTGGGCGCGGACATAGGCTTGGACACGGGCATCGTAACGGGCACGGAGGCTGGCATTGTCAGGGGCGCAGACACGGGCATGGATGTGGCTCTCACGCCGCCGACTGTGGACCACGTCCAGGCAACAGGTCGGGCCCTGGTCGATGTGGTTAAGCAACAGGCAGAGGAGATCAAGGTGCTCAAGGCTCAACTGGATGGTGCCAACCGGCAGCTAGTGTTGGCGGAGGAGGAGAAAGGCGCTGTCAAGCAGCTGCTCGTCAAGACGGAAGTCAACTTGGCCAACCAGGTCGCGGCCAGAAAGACGCTGGCCAAAAGAGTTGTCGCCGTCTTGGATGCTCTCCGGACTGGCGTTCTTGATCTGGCACATGTCACCGCGGCGCTGATGGATGGTTGCTCTCCTGAGACTGATGAGACTGTGTCGGGGGAAGACATTGTCGAGCCCGTTGCCGAGAATCGGCCGCAGATGCGTAAGTGGCGGCAGGGCACGTCAGGATTCAAGACCTCGCCGGCACTGGAGAAGCTCAAGGCACGTCAAGAAGCGATGCGTAAGCAGCGCGCGGCGGCGGCAGCAGCCGCTGACGCCGACGCCGACGCCGACGATGGCGACGGCGATGGCGATAGCTCCGACTCTTATGGTTCGGTTGTCGAGCACGACGATGAGCCTGCAGCCGAGGTCAAGACCGAGGCTCGGCCACAGATGCGCAAGTGGCGGCAGGGCACGTCAGGATTCAAGACCTCGCCGGCACTGGAGAAGCTCAAGGCACGTCAAGAAGCGATGCGTAAGCAACGCGCGGCGGCGGCTGCTGCCGCCGCCGACGCCGACGCCGACGCCGACGATGGCGACGGCGATGGCGATAGCTCCGACTCTTATGGTTCGGTTGTCGAGCACGACGATGAGCCTGCAGCCGAGGTCAAGGCCGAAGCTCGGCCACAGATGCGCAAGTGGCGGCAGGGCACGTCAGGATTCAAGACCTCGCCGGCACTGGAGAAGCTCAAGGCACGTCAAGAAGCGATGCGTAAGCAACGCGCGGCGGCGGCTGCTGCCGCCGCCGACGCCGACGCCGACGCCGACGATGGCGACGGCGATGGCGATAGCTCCGACTCTTATGGTTCGGTTGTCGAGCACGACGATGAGCCTGCAGTCGAGGTCAAGGCCGAAGCTCGGCCACAGATGCGCAAGTGGCGGCAGGGCACGTCAGGATTCAAGACCTCGCCGGCACTGGAGAAGCTCAAGGCACGTCAAGAAGCGATGCGTAAGCAACGCGCGGCGGCGGCTGCCGCCGCTGACGCCGACGCCGACGCCGACGATGGCGACGGCGATGGCGATAGCTCCGACTCTTATGGTTCGGTTGTCGAGCACGACGACGGCTCCGAGTCAGCCGACTCGGTTGTCGAGCACGACGACAAGCCTGTTGGCGAGACCCGCTCATGGCGTGCAGGCTTCAACACGTCGCCAGCACTCGAGCGGCTGACCGAGACACGGAGCGCCGCTGCGGGCAGAGTACACCCTGCGGCCAACGCCGGAGGCACTGACGATGCTGCAAAGCCGGTCGAGCGCCCGCAGATGCGCAAGTGGCGCCAAGGCACCACAGGATTCAAGACCTCGCCGGCGCTAGGGAAGCTCAAGGCGCGGCAGGAGGCTATGCGCAAGCAGCGCGCAGCTGCGGCTGTGGCTGCGACTACGGCTGCTGTCGCTGACGCGGACGCTAGTGATGACTCGGACTCGTGTGGCTCGGTTGTCGAGCGCAGCTCCGAGGGCTCGAGCTCGGCGGGCTCGATGGTGGACAACGGCTCGCCAGCGCCGCGCGAGATCCTCGGTCTTCCAGCCGAGTCCCCGCCGAACCGCCGCGCCGGGCGGCCCGAGTCGCTGCGCGACCGACGCCTGCGGCTGCGCAACACCCGGCGGGCGACGTCGTCGGACCACACCATGGACGCGGCCATGCGCGCCGCCATGCTCCGCGCCGGCCGCACCATGTCGGCGTCGGCCGCCGAAGAGCGGTTCGAGGAGCAGCAGAGCCAGTCCGAGCTCGAGGCTGCAGCCAACGCTGCGCACAATGAGGCGAACTCGACAACGCTCTACGACAGCAGCAGCGACGGTGATGACGATGTCATCGTCGTCAATGCAGCTACGAGTGGCATCGCCAGAGGCCACTCCTGGCTCGACGTCGAGCGCCCGCGCGGCGAGGCCATCGACTTTGAGCACAAGCCCAATGCCCGCGGCCTTAACGTCTCGTTCTCGTCGAACCTCTCCCACATCTTCGGCGAGACGTCATCCGACGACGACGACGATGTACCCGACGCCAGCGCCACCACTGCCGAGCTCTTGCGGCAGCTGGTCGAGGCTCGCAAGGAAAACATTGATCTCGCGCGAACGGTCTCTGAGCTCACGCTCGAGGTGAGCCGGCTGACGCAGTCACTCACCGCAGCCTCGGCGGCGAAAGCGTCATTGGCTGCGGGCGCGGGCCTCATAGTTGCAGGCGTGCAGACCGAGCCGCGGATTGTGGACAACGTGGCGGTGCAGACGCTCCCGCCTGACGTCGCCCATGTGAGTGTGCAGACCGAGGTGGAACGCGACGGCGGGCCGGTGAGTGCGGCTGGAGCCAGCAACGTCAAGCTCGACGAGCTCTCGTCGCAGTTGCATCTGGCGCAAGCGCAGAACGAGGAGCTGATGCGGATGCTGCGGTCGCCGTCGCTCTCGCTCTCGCCGATGCCGCGGTCCCCGTCGGCAGCGTCGCCTCTGACGCCTGTGACGGCGCGGGCGCGGTCCTCGTTCTCGCGCTCGCCGTCGCTCACGGGATCATCGCCGGTCCCGCTCGACTCGCCGGCGCGGGCACGGGCGCGGGCAGCGTTTGAGCGGCGGCTGGCGCGGACAGCGCGGTACGTCCACCAGCAGGAACTCCGACCTCTATCGTAAACACGTGCACTGCAGCGTCGTGTGTGAGCGGGTGGATGTGAAGTGGTATTTACTCGGAAGCAGCAGGCGCCTCGGCAGTGGCCGCAGCCTCGCCATCAAGCGTCTTCTGCTTCTTGGCGGGCGCCGCGCCGTCGTCGCCGGCTGCGGCGTCGTCCTCGGCCTTGCGCTTGGGGGCAGCGTGCTGGATGCCCTTGGCGCCCATGCGCGAGATGCGGCCGCGGACGCGGGCCTCGACAACGCCGTGCCAGTACTTGGTCTCGGCCTCGCCGTCGACAACAGCAACAGCAAAGACCTTGTCGGCCAGGGTGCGCTTGGTATCGTCGGTGGAGAGGTCGGCGACGGCGGCGGCGGCGACAGGGGCGGCGAAGCGGATGTAGCCCTCGGTCTGGCCGCGCGAAAAGTCGACGCGCTGGACGTCGCCATAGGCGCGGAAGATGGGGAGCATGTCTTCGCGGGAGATGCCCTCAGAGGCCAGCTCGGTCACGTGAACAACACAGCCGGGGATGACGTCAAAGGCGGCGATCTCAGCGGCAACCTCGGCAGCGATGGCCTCCTCGGTCGGCGGCGCAGCGGCAGCCTTGGATGCGTTGCGGCGCTCGATCTTCTTGGCGCGGGCACGGGTGAGGTAGTCGAGCTTCATCTCCATGGCCAGCGGCTCCAGCTCGGGCGCAGCGCGGATCTCCTTGGCAATGATGGCCTTGGCCTCGTCGACGGTGGCAAACTCGACAAAGGCCGAGCCCTTGAACAGATGGGTCTGCGGGGTGCGGCGGAGGCGGACGGAGAGCACCTTGCCGTGCTCAGCAAAGAGCTCGGTGATCGACTCGATGGTCGTCACCTCACCATCACGAACAAAGCCCTTGGCGTAAATCGACCGCTCATCGATGTCGAGCTTGGCCGGCAGCGGCTGAGCCCGACGGACGTTCTTGCCGTCGTCCGAGACAACCAGGGCGTCCGACTCGCCCAGAGCCGCCGCCAGGGCCTCGTTGTCGAGTCCCATCTGCTGCACACGCTTGAACTTGGCGAGCTCCTCAAGAGGAACAACTACATATGGATGTGGATGCAAGTGAGTGGGTGTGGTCAATGACCTTGGTGGGGGGAGGGGAGGGCGGAGGAGGGCAGTTTGCGGAGATGATGGCCATCTCGGCTCATCCCAGACGGCAAGGGCCAGGGCATGGGTGGGATGAGGGGCAGGGCAGTGCGTACAGCCGTCAGAGTTCTGGGCAGTGAGGTTAAGGAGGTACTTGTCACGCGGGAGGTTCGAGTCGGAAAAGTAGAACTCGATCTGCTTGCGGGCGCGGGCTGCGGCGGAAGTCGTGTCAGCCATGGTTGGGAGGGGGAGGGGGAGGGGAGGGGGGGGGGGGGTAACGGAGAGAGGGCGTACGCAGTGCA